GGGGAGAAATAATCCCCCTCTCCCTGTCCTGCTAGTTAAGGGGCCCTGCTGGCCAGCCTCTGGCCCTGGAGTGGTTAGGGGGTGCAACCACTATCACAGTGTCCTTGAGTGTGAGCCTCTTCCGGGGGGGGGTGGGTAAGGCGGCATTCTGTGGGTGGGGAAAGCTTCTGCAGACTGCATGAGGTGAACAGCAACAGTGACAGTGCTGGGGAGAGTTTGGGGGGTGATGACCCCCTTCTAGCCCTGGTGCTGCTGCACACTGTAGTTCGTGGGACCTTTGAGCCCCGCTCATGGCCCCCCATCCAGGAAGAGGCTTGCGCTCCCTGGACTAGGAGAGGGGCTGCTGTCCTATCAGGGACCTGCCCCCTTGCCGCTTCAGCGGCAGGGCAGGGGCATGGCCAGAGCCCAGCTGGCAGGGTCCCATAGGCAGGGGGTTTGCTCCTCCCTCTGACATCTGGTGGAGGGGCAGGAGAGGGCTTATCTTGCTGCTCAGCCCTGGAGGCAGTGGGGGTAGAGGGGGCAATAACCCCCCTTCCTTCCCCCTTGTCTCAGTGGGCCATGCCAGTTGGTGTTTGGCCATGCCATGGTCCTGCCACTCCAGCAGTGAGGTAGCTTGCAGTGGACCCTGGCTCAGGTCCATGCCAGTGGGACAGGGAGGCAGGAATTGAACCCTTGCCTGGCCATTTCATTCCAAGATACTGCTGGGGCTGGCCATGACCCCCAGCACAGCTTCCCTGCAGCCCAGGGCTACTCTAGTGCCCCCCAGCTCCTGGACTGAGCCACTTTAGGCATGTGCCTGCATTTTGTGAATATTTGTTCACTTGCAAATTGGTTCAATCTAGGCATGTTAGACTAACTTAAGCAATCAGGCTCTGGCTTTTTGAATGTCTGTCCCAAGCCCTTATGTGCTGTGCTATGGGTGCCCACCATGCCACATCACAAAGGCATTCGCTCTCCCATTGCACCATGCTGCACTGTGTGGATTTCCCCACATACCACAAGCTCCCTGGTTCCCACAGGGTGAGCTGCCCTGCATCCAGGGGCAGGAGCAGAAGCTCAAAAAGGGAGGGAGGGCCTGGAGACATAGCAACAGCAGCAGCTGGTGCTGTGGCGGGGGAGCAGTATCCAGGTAGGAGTGTGCAGGTGGCAAATTTAATGCCTTGTGGGCTAGGCCTGCACAAAGCGGCTAGTATTCACTTCGGATTTGGCCAATTCAGGGGACAGTGATTTGATTTGGTGATTCAAGTCACTGTCCTGAATCGATTAGACTGAATCTGATTCAGAGATTTGCTTGCCACTGAATCTCCGAATTGGATCCATCCCCCACCCGCTCTCCCAGCACTATCAATGGCTGCCCCACCCAGTCCCAGCTCCCAGCTCTTTGAAAAAAAAAAAAGCCTGGCACTCACTGGATGATGCCAGATGATCCCTGCTGCCCCCACTGCCCCACACTACATGGGGGGCTCTGTCACGAGCCCACTGCCCACTCTCTCAGCCCCAGCTCCTGGCTCTTTAAAAAGAAAAAAACCCCCAAACTCCCTACTCACTGGCTCCTGCCAGGTGGGGGGATGATTCCTGATGCCCCCACTGCCCCGTGCTACATGGGGGGGGGCTCTGCCACAAGCCCCCAGAAACTCTGATGGCCACTGCAGCAGCCGGTGGGACAGGGCTTTTTTTTTTTTTTTTTAATGAGCCAGGAGCTGGAACCAGGTAGGGCAGCCATGGGGTGGGTGGGGCTGGGACAATGTGTGGGGGTCGGGGAGGCTGAGAGAGCAGGCAAGGGATGGATCCCCCCATGGTCCCCTCCTCCAGCCCCCTCTCCCCTGCTCCCTACTTAACAGCATTGAGTCCGGGTCCAGCTGCCTGCAGCAGTCAGTGAGGACTGCCTGAATCTCTGAAGCTCTCTGAATCTTTTCCGAATTGATTTGGAGAGCTTCGAATTGATTCAGACCTTTTAACTGGTCTCCTGATTTGATTCGGATTTGGAGATTCAGCCGCTGAATCAGGCCGAATCTCCTCTGAATCAAATCAGCACCCAAAGCTTCGCACAGCCCTATTGGACAGCCCTGGTTTGTACCATGCTTGTTTTCTGTACAAGCAGAACAAAATACAGAGGAGAAAGGAAAGTGATTCTTTGTAACAGCTAGTGAAAAATATCTGCCCAGTGCTTCACTGCAGTGTAAGGAAGCATACAGGATAAATGCTTCTTAGAAGAATGGGGTTCTTGGCCCCATGTCATGTCATGTACCAACATGTTAGCTCTGGACTAGAACATTTATTTCTAATGTATAAATAATAAAAATGAGTACTGAGAAGGCACTGGGCTCACATTCTTTGATTATCCCCATCACTCAAGCAGCTGCCTTTTTGTCTGAGGTATCCTGCTTCTGAAGGTCTTTTTGATTTGTGAATCTAATTCAATAAAAGTATTCTGCTTTTCTGTCTATATTGAGCATGTTATAAATTACTCAGCTCCCAGCTAATGGAAAGATAATAGCCTTGCTCTGTTATTAGTTGCCAGCCTTCTGTTAAATTTGGAGTTTGAGCAAGATTGGAAGAGGAGGAAAGGACAGAGGCATGGTAACAGGGGTTAATGGTTGAATAAGGCAGGAGGACATTGCTGGAATATTGTATTAGCATAGAAAGTGGGATTTACTCCCATGAGGGTTCAGTGAATGCCCTGAATGTGAAGTATCTGGAGTACAATCTTTACCTGAGACATGAGAACTAGCCCTCTTGCAGATGCCAAGAGTTACAGTGCATTTTTCATCTGTCAACCCTCATAAAAGGAGATTATGCTAATTCCAAATGGATAAGAAAGTCATCTTCTCATTTCAGGATCCTGATAGCAATGTTTCAGCATTGGTAAAAATCTGACAGGCAAAACATTTTCACACCATTTCTCCCCTAATAAGACAGTGGCAGCAAGTTCAGACCCTGCTAAATACCACATCAGAGTGAAAAGGGCCAGATTGAGTGGCAGAAGGGCATTTTTTTAAACTGAGTCAGTAACTCTGGCTTGCAGTGTCTACACACTTTCAAGCTGCTAATCAGAGATTTGACAAATTTCCCTTTTTAACTTTTTATGGCATATGCTTTAAAACAAACAAATACTAGCTTATTCCCATGCACAGCCTTTACCGTATCTGCACCCACCCTCAAACTTTGTTGCCAAGGGTCCTGCTGCATCTTTATCCTTTCCCATAGATGCTGCCTTTACATGGACCGTGAGGGGCTGCTGAACTCAAGGAGCACTACAAACCCTTCACAGGAAATGCTGTTTATGTCCATACTCTGAAAAAGGCCAGTTCTCATGGCAACCAGATTTTCCCCACAGACATGCTTATTGTTTTCCCACACTCCCCCCTTCTGTGTAAAAGTTACGTAACCCCAGTGGAGCAGAATGGTTTAAAAAAAAATCTAATTGGAATGCAAACTGCACCCACTTTGACACTTAGTTACCTTCCATGCTGTTGAATATTGTTTCACAAACACAGAGAGACCTGTACATGACACAACTCTTTTTGAGCAGCTTGTTCCACAAGAGTGCCTGAAGGGTTCCTCAACTGCATGGGGAACAATCCTTATTAGCCTATCACTGTTGCAAAGCAAGGCATTTGTGACCCCCCCCAAATTTTTTTTTTTACACAACACAAAATTACCCTGTAGAACTCATTGTCCCATTTTGGAGACCAGGCATTATATCATCAAGGGCATCAAAGCACTGTTTTTCTATCCCACCTTCAGATCTGAAAGGCCATTGGCGGGGGATGGAAACTGGCCTTTAGAATAATTTGGAACATAAAAGGCATGGACAGAAGTGACAATTTTTTGCCCACTCTGGCCCTTGAACGTGCTCTACAGCTGTGACCAGACAGAAGTGTATAGCTGCAAAGTGCTTTAAAAGGGCCAGATCCTGCAAAAATCTGAACTCTTATTTCAGAGCGAGTTTGGTTTGGGGATTTTTTCTGTTGGGGCCTGAGGTAGGGGCTCCAAACTGCCCACCCCACCTCCCATCCACCCACTAAAATGAGCTCCCCTGTTCCCTTCCCCGCTTCCTATTATGAAAACAGCTCAGAGCCTGGGAGGGAAGACTGGCCATTGCTAGGGGAAACTGGCTGAAGACTCATTTCCTAACCTCCCCTCCCCCCTGGACCCAGCAGTGAACTTCTGTTTGGTGTGCGGGATTGTTGTAACTCAGATTGTTGTAACTCAAAGCGTTATGAGTTACAGCAGGGAGCTGTTTTTCTGTCTGTGCCCTTAAAGGACCTGCTTTGCTGATCAGGCTTAACATAGCTCATCATGCTCTGAACCTGCTACCCAACTACCCCATGATGTCCCTGACTGTAGTATGTGGAGAAATCAGTGGCATAGTGATAACTACACCAGGTCTACATCCATAACAAGGGAGTCCTCAGCCACTGCCCTAAAGCAGCTTTAGCTCTTTATAAAAATGATAGAAACTTCATGTTGGGAGTAAGATGGGTTTTTTCACAATTTTTTACAACAGCTTTTCACAGTTTTCAGTCATCTGCTAAGAGGAACCAATGATGTGGCCCTAATCAGCAGGACCCACAGGAAAACTATACACTAACTTGTACTATACAGTCATCCTCAAACTGTCAGGCTAAACACTTATAAGTGTATAAGCTCTCAAATGTTACAGCATGGTCCAACAACTGTCCAAAATTAGAAAGGCACTCCCCTTATGGAACAACTATTCATTATGGGATTACTGGCATTTTACGCTGACCCATGGGGCACTGTGTGCACTTTGAGCAAGGTTATTATACTAGAGAAATCTTTGTTCTGATCCAATATGACAGTTCTAGTCTCCTGATTGTTATTGGTCCCAGGACTGGCTGCAGTGCTTTGTATTTTGTAGGAAATGAATCATTTTGTAAGCCCATATACTGCAAAACGGTCTAATAACAATGAGATTATCTTTTTATACTGAGAAACTATATAGCATTACCCCAAATTTAGATTATTTTATTTACCTGCGTTATGGTCATGAGGGTCACTGTAGATGGAAGCCAGGGAAAACAAGGAGAAAATGACAAAAGCCAACAAGATGAAAGCTACTTCTAGGTTTGTGAAAGGCAGCTCCATGAACTGTTAATGTTTCACCTAGAATGAAATGTAAACGTTTACATGTCATGTTGTAGAGGAAGAATGGTTTGAATAGAGTAGCTTAGTTTTCCGTCAGGAGGATATTAGATCCTGGTCAAACTGGTTAAGTGACTTTAGCAGTCAAGGAAACAATTCTGTTTGCTCACAGAAGGAAGGCAGATCCTGTACTAACCCCATGCAAAGTACAGTAAGGAGCTTTTCTCTGTGGCACATTTAGAGTTTGGGGGTCAATCTAGAGTAGCAATTTTGAGAGTAGCATTGAAAAAAAGCTCCACATAGCTGAAGTTATTTTATTACAGGAAGGTAATTCTTGGTCCCTCTAAAATAAAACTGAGTTAAGAAAGGAAAATATCATACTAGAAATCTGCAGGAAAGTGGGGCAGAAAGAAACAAGCAAGCCTGAGCCTTTCTTCAGGTTCAGAAAGGGTACAGTCAAATTGAAGCTAGTGGCCTAGTCCAGGAACCCTAAAGTCAATGGGAGTTTGGAATGCTGAGTTCATCACGAAATTAGCTGCTACTAGCAATCCATTGTAATAAAAAAACCAATACATTTGTATAGTAAGTGCTCAGAAACTACGAAGCAGATGATTAGAAAGAATAAGATGGAAAAAAAGGAAAGTCTCCACTTACTGACTGCCAGGGTTTGGTGTGTGTATTCCAAGGATCTCTTGGCCTGAAGTTTTAAAATTGACACATTCTTATAAAATGACTCAGCAGCATGACCTTGAACTAATCACTCTGAGTCGGGAGTATTTAGTGCAGTGTGGTTTCCTGATGCTTTTCATTTGCTGCTTTCCACATGCAAGGTACAGTACACATCATAATAGAGGCTCAAGTGGTGAAAGTGCTAAAAAGGTTGCATACTTCAACAAGTGCTTTCCTCACACCTACCTACAGGATTGTAATAACGTTCATGTAAATAGCAGCAACAGAAGGTGGAGAATTGTTGTGTGGGCTTTCAGTACTGAGTACTCTACATTGTAAAACGTTTTGAATTGTAAACTGTAGTAAAATATTAACATAGTAAGGATGCAGTTAGGATGCAGGATCCTGCAAACATAGGATGCAGTTTTATTGCTAAGGAATAGAAGCGAATGTTTAAGCAGTACACAAAATACAAAATGATTAAAATGCACAGCTTTGATACAAATATAAGAATTTGTATTTATAAAAGCTTGTTTAAAGTTGAAGAGTATCAAAGCTCTTTACAAACCTTTAGAAGAACGCAGGGGCACAGAAAGGTGAGGGCAAAATACCTGTATGAAATAATAGGGGCCTGATGTCACTGAACTGTTTAGCATCCTATTCCCCTCAGATTAACATGAATTTACACTGCTCTATTCTCTCCTTTTCTAACCCCCAGCTAATGCTGCCTTGCTAGGTTTAAAGCTTTTGTTCATGTGTATAATGCATCCTTTATATACAATATGTATAATGTATCTGAGTGCAGAATTATGAGAGAGAGCATAAACCTACTGTGCTTTCATTGAGTTTTCAGACTCCATTTACACTTTCTTTTTTAAAAGCTGGCTTGTAGAGAAAAAGAAAAGTTTGTACCCTTATTTACTTAAAGATAGATAAATATTACTGGAAAGGTTGCTTTAAAAGGGTTTTATTTCCTTCCAGCTTTTTACACTTGAAGTACCAGATCTATTCTACTATGGCTCCACTGAAGAAGTCTTTGGAGACCTAGCGACGTTATGATAGCGACACAGACTGAAAACAGATCAACTAGGAGGGAAGGGACTTTTATTTAGATAGTTTCAACTCTTTAGGTTGAATTCAGAGGTGTTGTGTGATAAGTTAGTTTTCCTAAATATTATATATCCCTAAACTGGATGTAATTAAATCTGAGTTTTACTCTTATGCTTAGACTTACAGTTACTTGACAGCCTACCCTCTGTCCTGCCTGAGAAAGGGGAAGGCTGTCACTTGGCAGACAGCCCAGGGAGGGTTTCAGCCCCAGAAGAAAGCCCCCCCCACTTCCCCTCATCAGTTGACTGGCAAGAAGGGGGCTTTCTCTTGCAGTTCTTGCCCCAGGATAATAGTTCCCACTCCTTTCTGACCCAGAATAGTACAGGGAGAGAAGGGGACATTCTGCTGTGGTGGCAAGGCTCTGGGATCCTTGCTGCTCTGTCACAGCATCTAGCTCTGCCCCGCATTGCTTCAGGTCATCGTGGAGCAGTGTGGGCAAGGCAGGAGCATTCTGCAATGGCAGCAAGGCTTGGCATAGCAGTCTGCCTCATCCCACACTGCTCTGGGTTGACCCTGAGCATTGAGGGAAAGGTGGGGATGTTTTGCCACAGCAGCAACCCCTTCCAGGAGCATTCCCACTGCAGGAGAATGCTCCCCTCCCACCACCTCCTGTCAACCAACTAATTGATGGGAAATTGAACCATTCTTCCACTGGGGGAACCCATTCCTGGAAGGTCACCCCAATCAAATGACTGGCAGTAGGTGGGGATAATTTTTCGGAACAGGGTCCCCACAGGGCTCTCTGACAGCTTGCTCCTAAGTGGGCTATCAGGGAACGAGTGCTTTCCTTCCCTCCTTCCTTCTCCCTTGGAGAGAGGTATGGAAAGCAGAAGACTGAGACATTGGGCATCTTTCACACCCAAGACAAGCATTCTTATTAGATCAGGAGAAGGAAACTCTTCCTCATAGATCTAACTACATATTTGCAGAAGGGCCAAGTCTCTTTTGCAAAAAATCTCTCCCAACATCTGTACAGCAATTTTTGCACTGTCTGTTCATGGCCTTACGTGGCTACCATTAACTTTCCATATGCACACTGTTAGTGCTTAGAATGGCTCCAATAGGTACTTTGTGGAGTAAGCCATATTTTTTAGAGCTTGTGTTAGTTTTTACTGCAAGTGGCCACACGGGAAAGTAGTATGTAGTAGAAAATGTGCTGTAAAATTTCACCTTGATTTACTGCATCATAAATACTCCCCTGTAGGAAGCCCTAATCTGGAGGGAAATTTTTTTTTCTTCCATTAATGCTTCTTTCTAGTTCTCACTGTGTGAATTATATTAACAACCGTTTCAAACTCTATGGGCCTTTTTCTACTAACACATTTTATTAACTGTTTAGAGAAAAAATCTTTGTTAAAGATTGAAGCATCTTGTCTCTTTACTTGAGGGATGAGAAATCCAATTGCATTTCTCTAGTTTAACAGATAATCCTTTCCCAAAAATAAGGAAGGCAACATATAATATTTTTGATGCCTACTAGATGCAAACAGAAAAAGAAGCTGTAATAACACAAATATAAACAACAATTTAATTATCTGGTTCTTCAGTTCTTATGCACACAAAGAAATGGCCCAAACTATTAATTTCCTTTGAAGGGCCTATTTCATCAGACTGAGCAAATTTTATTTATAATCCTGTCTTCTGATTTTTTGTTAATTAAATCCCGTATCAGCCATTCATAAATTTCATAGACGTTAGGGCTGGAAGGGACCTCACGAGATCATCGGGTCCAGCTCCCTGCCATTATTTTCCCCAGACTGAACTCAGGCTGAAGACCTGCAATCGCTCACATCATCATATTTTGACCCTTTTAACATATTGCCAATATATGGTTGTCCTCCATCATTCCTCCGAACTTTCACCATGTCTTAAAATTATTAAAATAGTAATAATTGAGAGTATTCCTGAGAAGCTCTTTGTTATGAGGTTTGCAGATCTAGTGATTTAGGATGTACACAGAAGGAAGGGACTTGTAATAGCACTGTAACTTTTGTGCTTTACACAGAGCATTAAAAGTTACAGTGCAATCAAACACAACAGCCTTTTGGCATGGGGGAGAGGGGGGGGCTCAGAGCTTCCCTGCACTGGCCAAGGCTAGGAGGCAGAGGGCGCTGTCACATTCCTCCCAGCATGTTCTGCAGGCCCTGGGAACTGCCAGAGACTGCCGAGCACAGCCAAAGAGGCTAGCAATAGCCAAGCAGCCTGCCTGCCCGGGGCTGCTGTAGCCAGTGACAGCCTTTCATCCCAGCCCCACCTCCTGCCTCTGGCCACAAAGTGCCACAGCTTGGGTGAGGGGATGGGGGTGTCTCCCCCACAACGTTCCCAGGACTGGAGTAGTCAGCAGCCCAGCCAGGTGTGCTGTGTGGGGGGAGAGGCACACCCGGAGGAGAAAGCAGCTGGGGGAGACCTATCTCGGTGCTGTGTGCCCAGCTGGGCTGCCAGCTCCCTCAGTCCTAGGGGCACACCGCAGGAAGAGACATCATTCTCCCTTCCTTCTGCTCAGGGTGGTTCTCAACTGGCTAGAAGGAGGTGAGGCTGGGATGAGAAGCTGTCACTGAGAGTCCCAGGGCAGGGCTGGCCTGGCACTCGGGCAGGCAGAGGAGACAAGCTCTGCCTACCGAAGGCTAGAGCATAGGCCTGTGCAGAGGCCCATGGGATGCAGGTGGCATCATCCGGAAGTAATCCTCACTGCGAACCTGCACACAGATTCGCTAAGACGGTCTTCCCTAAGTGTCTTCATCTGAAAACTTGCCAGATGAGGGTTAAATTTTCATTTTATTGGCCATTTTTAAAAGTGCTCTGCAGCTGTGCATGTTTCAGAGACCTCATCGTGCGAAAAATGTAACCTCTGTATGCACCCTTATTTATGCCCAGGTTCAGTAGTTGTGGCTTAATAGCCTCCTAATTTACTTGTGGGATTAAAAGTATTTGATCCTCTTATGCGTATCATCTGGGTATGATACAGAAATAGAGAGGAGAAATATTTTCTTCAGATTCCTATGTTGGGAATTCCCAGTTTGTATCATTCCCAAAACATATATTTATATTTTCCATTTCAATAAAAGCATCACTATTATAATTGAGCCAAGTGTATATATTATAGATAGTATAGTTGTTGGCTTGATTTTTGAAATACTGCTCATTTTAATACCTTCACTGAAATATCTGTCTTTAGAGGGGTATTTTTAAGATGCTTTAAAATGGTATCACTGTCAATCACTTTCAAATTTGATAGTAATAGTGGGCATCATTTTGGAAGTGATCAGGTCTGGTTTAGTACAATTCATCTGAAGCCCTCATTTTTCTTAGGACTGGTATATATTACAGTCACTGCTTGTAAGTAGCAACCTGTCTGTGTCCAGGTGTTGTATTGCTCCTAACTAGCTGTTGCTATTATAGGGACCATCAGCTAAATGCCTATTATAGAAAATGTTCCTAGGGGAAATGTTGCTGGGAAGAGATTGTTGCTTTTAGCAGGTATTGCTGCAAGTGAGCATTGACTATATTGTGTAGCTGAAAGTGAATCAAAACTCTTTTCTTCTTCAGCAAACAGAAACATAGTAGTTTGTTTGACAAGTGAGGCAGCTAATATGGAGTTTATTAAAGGCTTTGCAAGAGACTGAATAAGAATTCAGACTGTAATTCTTTTATAAAATTCCAAAAGAAACTTCATTTCTGTCCCTGTCTATGGTGATTCCATGAATAAGATTTCACCCATGTTAAAGATTTCTTTATATGAAACACAAACGGTTCCCACACTCTGCTCAGAGTTCAGGCCATACAACAAATTGAACCTCAGACAAGACTTACAATGCCCCAAGAAAATGTTTCTTGAGTAGAGTTGGTGAAAATGCTTCAGATGTTATTGAAATGACCCTTACACTTTCCCCACTGGGAAGCCAGCACTGTGAGTGTCTAGGACTTGTAGATCTCAGGTGCCAAGGCAGATGCCTGTCCTTCTAACCAGACTAAACTTTGCAAATGTCTGGTCATCTTATCCAGTCAGACAGATGCTATAACAAGCTTTCCTGACATTTTCATTATAAAAGTCTAATTGCCATTTTTATT